AAAAAACATGAATTATATTATTTTAAAGGTAATTAACACCTTAAATAATAAAGTTTTTAAGAAAACAACAACAACATAAAAAAAGACTAGGAAATATTAAATTACGAGACCACGTCGAAGTTGATGATGACGAGGTTGGTAGGTAGGTAGACCACCAAAACAAAAATTTATTAGAGCATTTGATTGGTAGTAACACAAAGCAAAAAAAAAAAAACTAAAAAAATTATGTTACAAAAACAAGTGAATAAAATCCCATAGAAATAATAGCAATAAATAGCAACAGTAATGTCAATTAAGCGTTTCTTTCTTAAACAAAAGTTTCAATAAAACCAAATAAAGAGATTTTAAAGAAAAAATTTAAAATTTTCTTTAAAAATTATATAATTATTTTTTAATTATTCTTAAAAACAACTTTTTTAATAAAAAAAATTTTTGTTGTTTAAGCGATTTTTTATTTTAGTGATTTTTTATTAAGCGATTTTTTCAAATTTAATTATTTTCTTTTAAAAAGAAGTAATTTTGTTTAATTTTCTATAAAAGAGAGATTTCATTTAAGTAATTTTTATTTAGGCGTTTTTTTATTTAAACGATTTTTTTAATTCAACCGATTTTTATTATTTTTTTTTTTTTTTTAGAAAATTACTTTTAAACAAAACCAAATAAAGAAATTTTAAGAATTTTATTTTAAAATTTTATAATTTTCTTCAGTTTTCCTTATTTTAGTGATTTTTAATTTAAGCGATTTTTGAAATTCAATTATTTTTCCTTCAAAATGAAGTTATTTTGTTAATAATAATTTTCGTAACTTTTTCCTATAAAAAAATTTTTCTTCCTAAAAAATTGTTTATTTAAGCGTTTTTTTTTTTTTATTATGGTGATTTTTTATTTAAGCAATTTTTTTCAAAATTAATTATATTCTTTTCAAAAGAAGTAATTTTGTTTCAATTTCATTATATAAAATATTAAATTTAAGAGATTTGTTATTTAAGCGATTTTTTAATTCAACCGTTTTTTATTGGTTTTTATGGCAAAATTTACTTCAACATAAAGCCAAATATAGAAATTTTAAGAATTATTTCATAATTTCTTTTAAAACATAATAATTTTTTCAGTTTTCTTAATTTTAGTGATATTTTATTTAATTTTTCAATTATTTTTCCTTAAAAATTAAGTAATTTTGTTTAATTAATTTTCGTATAATTTTCATATAAACAAATTTTTTAAATTAAAAATTTTTTGTTTAAGCATTTTTTTATTTTAGTGATTTTTTTTATTTAAGCGATTTTTTTTCAAATTTAATTATTATGATTATTATATATTATAATTATTATTAATTAGCTTTCAAAATGTTTTATTTAAGAGATTTGTTATTTAGGCGATTTTTTTTAATTCAACCGATTTTTATTGGTTTTTATGGCAACACTTACTTTATTATTTAGACGATTTTTTTAATGAAGCGACTTTTTATTGAATTTTTATGGAAAAAATACTACAAAATAAAACCAAATGAAGAAATTTTACAAAAATTTTGATATTTTCTTTTAAAATTAAATAATTTTTTTTTTAAATATGCTTATAAACAGTTTTCTTTTTAGCGATTTTTTGTTAAAGTGATTTCTTATTTAAGCGATTTTTTTAAATTCAAATATTTTTTTAAATGAAGCAAGTAATTTTGTTTAATTTTCCTTAAAAAAAATTTAATTGAACTGATTTTTTTATTTAAGCGATTTTTTAATTCAGTGATTTTTCTTTATTTCTCAATTTTTTACGAAAAAAATTACTTTTAATATTGGAATTTGTACTTTACTTTTAAGGTTCTAAATTTTATTTGAAATTTCTCTAATAAAATGTTGATTCTAGCGATTTTTCATTTAAGCGTTTTTTTTAATTTTAATTTCTTTATAGAAAAAATTAACTAAAATAGTGGAAATTAAAATCTCTTTTTCATTTTACAACTTTTTAAAACATTTTATTAAAGAAATTGTTCATTCTAGCGATTTTTTATTTTAGCGTTTTTTTAAATTTTAAAATTTTTATAGAAAGAATAACTTTTACTATTCAAATTTGTTGCTTTCAAAAATGTTTTTGTATTTTCTCTAAGAAAATACCAGTTTTAGGGACTTTTTATTTAAGCGAAATCTTGTGTTTAGCGATTTTTCTTCTTAAGCGATTTTTTAATTTTACATTTCTTATAGGGAAAAAATTACACAAAATTGTCTCATTTGTTGATTTCTTTAATATTTCTATTATACATTTACTTTTCATTCAAGAAAATTTTAATTTTAGCGATTTTTTGTTTAAGAGCTTTTTTTAATTTTAATTATTTTTATAGAAAAACTTACTTAAAATTATCGAACATTAATCTATTACTAACTTTTTAAGTTTTTATAACATTTGGAACCAAGTAATTTTTCATTATAGCGATTTTTTATTTAGGCGATTTTTTGAAAGATTAACTTTTTAAGTAGAGTAAAATTAAAAAAAAATATCTCATTTGTGCTTTCTTGAAAATGTCTTGTGTACATTTGCTTTTCTTGCAAGAAAATTATCATTATAGCGATTTTTCATTTAAGCGTTTTTTACATTTTAATTTTTAATTTTTAGAAAAAAATGACTTAAAAGACTCGTGCTTTAAATGTTTTTGTTATTTTTCAACTTTTTAGAAAATTGGTTGAGAAAAAATTATCATTCTAGCGATTTTTTTAAATTTTCTTTTTTATAGAAAATATATTTAAATAGTAGTATTTCAAACATTTTAAAACATTAAAATAAAAAAAATTTTATTCTAGCGTCTTTTTATTTAAGCGCTTTTTGCAATTTTACTTTCTTTATAGAAAAAAATGTTTAACTTAACATTTTCTGTAAAATTTTAAAATTTTTCATACATTTCTGCCAAGAATATGTTCAATCTAGCGATCTTTTATTTAAGCGATTTTTAGTTTAAATTTGTAATTATCACCTAATCAAGAAAATTTAAAATAATTTTAATATTTTCCCACCAAATTTAATTAAACTTCAAAAAGATTTCATTCAAAAATCATAATTAACCTTTGAACCTATTATTTAACATATTCTATTAATCACTCATTTTAATCTTTATACAACAAACACACACACTCACACATTAATTAAAACAACACTTAGTTTTAGAGAATTTAAGGCGCCTACAACTTGTGTGTCGTTATCTTTGTTCAGCTGTTGGCAGCAACAGTAACAAAATACGTATTATGAATAAAAAACGTGATTTCCGGTTAACAATGTTGAGAATAGACAATTAGTTTAGCATGGACAATTTCATAAGTATAATACATATAATGACAACAACATGAAATGTCAATAAAAACAATTAATAATAATATAGATTGCAAAAATAACAATAAAATAAAACATAAAAAATGAGACCAAATGTCTGGTTTAAAAAAAAAACACCTAAAAAAATTTAAACAAATTGTAAAATTAATAAAAAATAATGCAAGAAAAATTTCATTCTGGTGATTTTTTATTTAAGCGATTTTTTTTAATTTTCCTTTTTTTTCATGAAAAAATTTAACAAATTTGTTACTTTCTTTTAAATAACTACCTTCAATTAAAAAAATGTACATTTTAGCGATTTTTTATTTAAGCGCTTTTTAAAATTTTTAGTTTTTAAAGAAAAAAATGCTTAAAATAATGAAATTTTAAATGTTTTTATTATTTTATTTAAAATTTTAAAAATTCCTTATAATTTCGATCAACTAAAATGTACATTGTAGCGTTTTTTATTTAAGCGATTTTTCTAATATTGCTTTTTTTGTGGAAAAAATTACACAAAAATGTTTAATTCGTATAAATCATTAAAAATTTTTACATTTCTGATACACTTCAACCATGAAAATTTCTATTTTAATGATTTTTTATTTAAGCGCTTTTTTAAATTTTACTTTTTTAAAGAAAATTTTACCTAAAATTATTAAATTTTAAATGTGTTTATTATTATCTTTTAAATTTCCAAAATTTTGTTTACTTTTGATCAAATAAAATTTCTATTTTAGCGTTTTTAATTTAAGCGATTTTTCAAAGTTTTCCTTTTTCGTTATAAAATTATGCACAAAATTGTATAATTGATTATTTGCTTAAAATTTTTTAATTTTTATACACTTAAGTAAAAAAAATGTCATTCTAGCGTTTTTTTATTTAAGCGTTTTTTTTTTAATTTACATATTTTACAGAGAACTCTAAAAATAGTAAAATTTTCAAATTTTTTAATATTATTTTTAAAATTTTTTACTTTTCCATCAAAAGTTCATTCTAGTTAATTGTTCAATTTGGTGCTTTTTAAGAAGAAACCGCTTGAACAATCAAATTTTTGCAGATTTTCTAGTTTTACATGTTTATTCTGTTTATTAACAATTTCATTAAACTTTTGGTTTTAGAAAATAAAGAAAACTTTCTGTTTTTTATTTTAGCGTTTTTTTTTTTCAAATGAGCGATTTTTTGAGAAATTTATAAAAATTTCAATTTTATCATAGAAATTGTTATTTTCCTTATAATTTAAAATGTTAAGTTCATTCTAGTGAATTGTTCAATTTGGTGCTTTTTAAGAAAAAATCGCTTGAACAATCAAATTTTTAAAGATTTTATAGTTTAAAACGTTCGTTTCGTTTATAACAACTTCATTGAACTTAAGTTTTTATAAAATAAGGACATTTTAATTTTTTTATTTTGGTGCTTTTTTCAAATGAGCGATTTTTTGAGAAATTCATAAAAAATTTATTTTTATTGTAGAAATTTAACAATTAGTAATTACACATTTTTCTTATAAACTTTTGTATTGAAAATTATTTTAACAAAATTTTTATTTCAGCGATTTTAGTCAATTTAGCGATTTTTAGTTTTTTTTACAAAATGTTATTTTTATTGTGATTATTAAGTATATATCTTAATAATAGGCGTTTTTTATTTTATTTTGAAGATTTTTTATTTAAGCTATTTTTTTTTTTCTTTTTTTTTTATTGGCGATTTTTAATATTTTTTTGGAAAATTTCATTATTATTTAAATAATTTTATCTTTTTCTTTTTACTTTGAAAACAAAACATGTACTTAGGTGATTTTTTCATTTTAGTGCTTTTTAGAAAAATCAATGAAATACTATAAATTTGTATAGTTTTTCTTAAAATTTTAGTTTTTCGTGGCAATAAAAAAAACTTCTTTACATTTTAAGTAAAAATTTTACATTTAACCGTTTTTGTTTTATAGTTATTTAAGAACTTTCAAGTAGTAGATAAAAATTTTAGCGTTTTTTCCAATTTGGTGCTTTTTAGAAAATATGGGGAAAATCTTGCAAAATTTGTAATTTTCTTTGAATATTTCATTTATCTCAGAACATGGAGATATTTCTTCTCTTTTCAAGTTGTAATAATACATTTTAGCGTTTTTTCATTTTAGAGCTTTTTGCTTTTTTTAAGTTATTTTTAAAGCAATTTGTTGTTTATTTCTTTTAACCTTTCATTTTAATTTCAATATTGCCTGGCATTAATAAAATGTTAAAAAAATACATAAATTTTTTTAATAATTTATGATAAAATTACGAGACTTTTCAAGAGCAACTTTAAACAAAAGCTAAATTACAGGTAGTAATAAAAAGCAATGAACCTAAATCTGAACAAAAACAGTTGCAAAGTTAATGAACTGAAAAAACAAAAAACAACTCTTTTGAAGTTCATAAAAAAAGTTATCAAATTTCCCTTTCCCTTTAAATTTTCTCAATATTTTTTCCATTAATTAAACATTTTTCTCTAAAATTTATTTTACTTTAACTTTTATAAACATTTTCCTTTCAAATTTACTTTAAATTTCTTTAATTTTCTTTTAAATTACTTTTTAAATTTAACGTTTACTTTAATTATCTTCCCTTGACTAAACTTTAAAATTAACGTTTTAATTATTACATCCTAAAAATATACCTCACTGATTGTACTACATTTAAATATAAACACCCAAACTCTTTAGTAAACAAACTCACTCACACGTACATCAGCTAACCAACCAAACCCAGTGTATAGAAGAAAAGAAAAAGCTTTTTCTCTTACAACACATTCACTTTGTTGTTATTGCTGTAATTTTCGAATGGGGGTGTGTATATGTTGTTGTTGTTTTAATGAATTATTAAAGATAAACACACAATCATTACTGTTAATTTGTTTTAATAATAAATCCATAAGAAGTAAAACTCTGTTTTAAAGGTTTTTAATAACCGACAGAGTGAGTTTCTTTTAAACAATTTTCACAAATTTTTCCGTAATTTTATTTAGCAATTTTTAATTTTTTTTCAAAATAAACTTACCGGTACATAACTTACGGAAGAGAATAATAAAATTTAATAAAAAAAGAAACACTTACCTAGAAAGAAAGATAAACAAAAGAATTAGTATAAAATTTACAAACATTTTTAAAAGAGAAAACATAATTTTAAGAAAAATTTTAAAGAAAATATAAGTTTATATATGTAAATCTGCACTAGACAAAATGGACTATTCTATACACCATTGCATAAGCTATTCTATACCAGACTCTAGATTATTCTTCAGTGCAGACTATAGACTATTCTATAGTCCAGACTATAGACTCTTTTATAGTCCAGACTATAGACTCTTCTATAGTCCAGACTATAGACTCTTCTATAGTCCAGACTATAGACTCTTCTATAGTCCAGACTATAGACTCTTCTATAGTCCAGACTATAGACTCTTCTATAGTCCAGACTATAGACTCTTCTATAGTCCAGACTATAGACTATTCTATAGTCCAGACTATAGACTATTCTATAGTCCAGACTATAGACTATTCTATAGTCCAGACTATAGACTATTCTATAGTCCAGACTATAGACTATTCTATAGTCCAGACTATAGACTATTCTATAGTCCAGACTATAGACTATTCTATAGTCCAGACTATAGACTATTCTATAGTCCAGACTATAGACTATTCTATAGTCCAGACTATAGACTATTCTATAGTCCAGACTATAGACTATTCTATAGTCCAGACTATAGACTATTCTATAGTCCAGACTATAAACTATTCCATAGACCAGACTATTGCCTATTCTACAGTCCACACTATAGACTATTCTATAGTCCAGACTATAGACTTAGTCCAGACTATAGACTATTCTATAGTCCAGACTATAGACTATTCTATAGCCCAGACTATAGACTATTCTATAGTCCAAACTACTATTCTATATTCCAGACTATAGATTATTCTATAGTCCAGACTGTAGACTATTCTATAGTGCAGACTATAGTCCAGATTATAGATTATTCTATATTCCAGATTATAGATTATTCTATAGTCCAGACTATAGATTATTCTATAATCCAGACTGTAGACTACTCTATAGTACAGACTATAAACTATTCTATAGTCCAGACTATATACTATTCTATAGTCCAGACTATAGACTATTCTATAGTCCAGACTATAGACTATTCTATAGTCCAGACTATAGATTATTCTATAGTCCAGAATATAGATTATTCTGTAGTCCAGACTATAGACTATTCTATAGTCCAGACTATAGACTATTCTATAGTGCAGATTACAGACTATTCTATAGTGCAGATTATAGACTATTCTATAGTCCAGACTATAGACAATTCTATAGTCCAGACTATAGACTATTCTATAGTCCAGACTATAGACTATTCTATAGTCCAGACTATAGATTATTCTATAGTCCAGAATATAGATTATTCTGTAGTCCAGACTATAGACTATTCTATAGTCCAGACTATAGACTATTCTATAGTGCAGATTACAGACTATTCTATAGTGCAGATTATAGACTATTCGATAGTCCAGACTATAGATTATTCTATAATCCAGAATGGTCTAGTCTATAGTCTTGTCTATAGGCAACTCGATAGGGTAGTCTATATCTAGTCTTTAGTCGAGTCTAGTCTATAGTCTAGTCTATAGTCTAATCTATAGTCTAGTCTATAGTCTAGTCTATAGTCCTAGTCTATAGTCTAGTCTATAGTCTAGTCTATAGTCTAGTCTATAGTCTAGTCTAGTAGTCTAGTCTATAGTCTAGTCTATAGTCTAGTCTATAGTCCAGTCTATAGTCTAGTCTATAGTCTAGTCTATAGTCTAGTCTATAGTCTAGTCTATAGTCTAGTCTATAGTCTAGTCTATAGTCTAGTCTATAGTCTAGTCTATAGTCTAGTCTATAGTCTAGTCTATAGTCTAGTCTATAGTCTAGTCTGTAGTCTGGTCTATAGTCTAGTCTATAGTCTAGTCTAGTTAGTCTAGTCTATAGTCTAGTCTATAGTCTAGTCTAGTCTATAGTCTAGTCTATAGTCTAGTCTATAGTCTAGTCTATAGTCTAGTCTATAGTCTAGTCTATAGTCTAGTCTATAGTCTAGTCTATAGTCTTAGTCTATAGTCTAGTCTATAGTCTAGTCTATAGTCTAGTCTATAGTCTAGTCTATAGTCTAGTCTATAGTCTAGTCTATAGTCTAGTCTATAGTCTAGTCTATAGTCTAGTCTATAGTCTAGTCTATAGTCTAGTCTATAGTCTAGTCTATAGTCTAGTCTATAGTCTAGTCTATAGTCTAGTCTATAGTCTAGTCTATAGTCTAGTCTATAGTCTAGTCTAGTCTATAGTCTAGTCTATAGTCTAGTCTATAGTCTAGTCTATAGTCTAGTCTATAGTCTAGTCTATAGTCTAGTCTATGTCTAGTCTATTAGTCTAGTCTAGTCTAGTCTATAGTCTAGTCTATAGTCTAGTCTATAGTCTAGTCTATAGTCCTAGTCTAGTCTATAGTCTAGTCTATAGTCTAGTCTAGTCTAGTCTATAGTCTAGTCTATAGTCTAGTCTATAGTCTAGTCTAGTCTAGTCTAGTCTATAGTCTAGTCTATAGTCTAGTCTAGTATAGTCTAGTCTATAGTCTAGTCTATAGTCTAGTCTATAGTCTAGTCTATAGTCTAGTCTATAGTCTAGTCTATAGTCTAGTCTATAGTCTAGTCTATAGTCTAGTCTATAGTCTAGTCTAGTCTAGTCTATAGTCTAGTCTATAGTCTAGTCTATAGTCTAGTCTATAGTGTAGTCTATAGTCTAGTCTAGTTTATAGTCTAGTCTATAGTCTAGTCTATAGTCTAATCTATAATCTAGTATATAGTGTAGTCTATAGTATAGTCTATAATCTAGTTTATAGTCTTGTCAATAGAGTAGTTTAAATTCTAGTCTATAGTCTAGTCCATAGTTTGTTTAGTTTATATTCTACACTCCAGTCCACAGTCCATGAAATTCCATTAATAATCACTGCCGTTTTTTATGACTTACATATTTCAACAAGTCAACCACTTGACAATAAAAATTGATTTTCTATATTTTGCACATTTTTTCACAATTTATTGTTTGACACTTTAATGAATAACAAACAATCAATCAAATAAAAAGAAAAAGAGAGTAAAGCAAATGATATGAACTAAAAACTCATTTACATATGAGAGTGAAAAAAATGTATGCTTACATCTCTATTTATAAGTGTGTGTGATTGTGTGGGGCTTTATTATTGTTTTGGTTTGTTCATTTCTTAAACAAGTAACGAGGATTTGGTAGTGACAGCTTGATTATATAGTGTTGCCATATGGAATATGTGTGGTTTTAGTTAAATCTGGTAGTTTGTTTAGTGTTTCTTTTGCTTTTTCTTATATTTAATCAAATTAATTGCCGTTTTAAGCAAATTTCTCTAAAGAAAATTACTTTTTTATTACAAAAAATTATAATTAACAAAAAACAACTTTTTGTTATAAAATTTTAACTTGTTTTTGAACAAAATGGTGCAAAAAATAATCTTTTTACTTTAAACATTCTGCCATTAGTCATTTATTTTTTATTTCAATTATACTTTGTTTTTGTGTTTAGGTGTCAAAGCAATTTCGTTCTTTTTCATGTTTTGTATTTTCTTTTTCACTCATCATTAATTTCGAACGTGATTTATCAATTTTTACACATTGATATTGAATTGGCAGGCTGACTGTTGACCAGATGATGATGATGTTGCTGAGGCAGATGATGTTGTAGTCATCACAACCACATAGAAATTTAAATAAAAATGTTTGACGGCAGATTTTATGTTAAATAAATAGAAAAAAGGGGTCAAGTCAATATTTTTTGCAGAATTTGTAAATTAAAAATCCTTGAAATATTAAAAAAGAAAAACTATTTAAATTGATGAAATATAAAGAAAAATATAGAAATTTTACCACAAAATTATAAAGAAACCTTTTTTTAGAAATAAAACTAATATTTGGCAAATTTTTGCTAAAATTCATAATCAGGGGATTTTGTATTATGAAATTGGGAATTCATAAAATGGAAAAATTCTACCAGAAATATATTCTACTAGCCATAAGCTACAATTTGTGATAGCAAATTTCCTATTCCAGGCGTTTTTATAAATTCCCAAAAGAAGATTTAAAATACCCAAAATGGGAATTTAAAGAAATTGCATACAAATTCCTAAAAATCACATAGAAAATACTTTACATTATTTTTTAAGGCATAAAAATTAATCTTAACTTAAATCCATAAAGTGGGGATATTGTATTATGAAATTGGGAATTCATAAAAAGTTAAAATTTTAACGAAAATGTATTCTACTAACCTTAAGCTACAATTTGTGTTAGAAAATTTCTTATTCTAGGCATTTTTATAAATTCCTAAAAGGAGTTTTTAAATGCCCAAAATGGGAATTTGCAGAATTTCTACAAAATGTTATAACAAATTAAAGGGAAACGTTTACAGGAGATTTTATTTAGCAAAAACTATAGTTTTTCTTAAATTCCTAAAGTGGGGATGTTGTTATATGAAATTGGGAATTTATAAAAATGAAAAATCTTACCATAACTGTATTTCGCTAGCCTTTAGCTATAATTTGCGTTAGAAAATTTCTTAATCCAGGCATTTTTATAAATTCCCAAAAGGAGATTTTAAATACCCAAAATCGGAATTTAAGCAAAATTGAATAAAAACTCCTAAAACTCACATAGAAAATACTTTACATTATTTTTTTAAGCATAAAAATTAATTTTAGCTAAAGTTTTTAAAGTGGGGATTTTGTTAAATGAAAATAGGAATTCATACAAAGTAAAAAATTTTAACGAAAATGTTTTCTACCAAACTTAAGCTACAATTTGTGTTAGAAAATTTCTTAATCCAGTCATTTTTAAAAATTCCCAATAGGAGATTTAAAATGCCCAAAATGGGAATTTGTGATATTTGACAAAAATTTGTAGAAAAGTGAAGGAAATTGATATTTTGCTAGTTTTTCATATATAAAATGTATTTTTAACAAAATTTAAAAAAGTGGGGAAGTGAAAAATTTAAG